AATTTAACACAAATCCAATAATGAATATCTTTTTTAACAAAATTAAATAAAAGATAATGTTTGTATCAAATTATTTTGCCCCGTGAATGTGAAAGAGATCGCTCTCCATTAGTTTTAAGAGGTTATCCTCTATTTTGCCATTACTCCGCGGCGATGAGAACGAGTCTAAGGGGATCTGGTTCGAAAATCCCTGCAACTCCATGCAGAATTAACATACCCTTAAATCTGCATAATACGCCAACCTGCCTGGCTTATCCGCACGTTGCACTCTCGTGCGTTTGTTTTTCCTATCTTCCTTCAAATTATACAAACACTCCCAATTCCATCACGTATTACACTGAACTTTGTTGAACATTCTCACAATAGAGCACCAATTTTTAGCACACGTTTACAACCTCGTCTCTAAAAAACTTTTTGCACTTTTCAATAGAAACTTTAGCAATATCCATTAAGACGATCTTTTATTTCCTCCCTTCTCTAAATTTATTCTTCGTATTTGTATTTTGTAAAAAAAAATTTCACTTAAGAAGCGAGACATACTGGAAACTTGTACCCTCGATTTATCTAACGTGGATGTAAATGAGCTATAAAATACATTTGCAACGGATGATGGAGTACAATGGATAATCTCGCCAGCTGGTCGAAACAGTTTGTTTTTCCTGAGTTCTTCTCGTGATTTGAGAGCCTCTGCAAACAATCTAGTCGCGCAGCGACGCGTGTGACGCGCAAAATGCGGGCTCCTCGGACCATCGACCCTCGGTGCTCTTGGAAAAATCGGGGGTGGGGCACGGAAAGGGAGACGTCTTGTTGCACACCCCAGAACCGGACGCGTGCCACGATCCACGGACCAAGATAATTGCGAATAACACCGCGACAAACGGCTCCAGATACCGCTGCCCGATATCTCTTTCTGGGGTAGAGATTTTTTTGTCCAGATATACACTCGATGCTTTGGCCAGTGATTGAATTCTACCATTAGGATTTCAGGAAAGAAAAAGGAGTAATAAAGAATTTTGGATATGATTATTTGGATTATTAATCTCTTTTTGAGATAATTCGGTTTTGAGATGTATATTAATTTGAAAAATTGAAAGTTAAAAAAGAAAATGTAAACGTGTAATTGAGCTATTTAAATTTTATAAGAAATATTTCAAGATTTTTGTGTATCTTAACGTTAAAATATTGAAAAAGTATTTTAATTATCGGCTAGCAACAAAAAAAATAAGAAATTGTGATTCGATTCCTGATCTCAAGGAAAATTACGATCTCAAGTTAGAAATCCAGATGTTACAAGGGGAACACTTAGACCCCCAATAGGTTGGCGTCACACGTCAATCAATCACTAATACCATGAGATTAAAATGTCCAGACACCACCCTCTCACGAAACTCTCTCTCTCACTCGCGTGTTTGGTCTTACTACCGAGGATATTTATCGAAAGAACGTAACGCCACTCTCGAGGTTTCGCCCGGAAAACCGAATATGGCCGTTTGGTTATCAAAGGTTATCGTGCACTCGGGGGAAAAAGTCTTTTCGTGGCCGGATATTCAATGGAGTGAATCCATCAATTCTCGGGATCAAGGGATCTACGTTATTTAAGAGAATGATAGGCTGTAAGGGTGGGCAAAAAAATCCTGCATCATGGAAAACATAAATTTCGAGCATAAATATGGTATCTATTGTTAAAAAAAACCTCTATCCTATGAATATAAATCTTTTCATTACGTTTCTTTACGTTTTCTATATTGCACAAATATCTCTTCTTAATGTTTAAAATTTACAAAATTGATTCAATACAAATTACTCTTCATTGTGATCCTCCATTATTTTATTTTGCAATTAATATTTTTTTGCCAATATCTAAGTTGACTCCTTGTTAATTTTTAATACGAAACGGCTACAATAGAAATTAAATAAAAAGGAAATATAGCAAGGAGAAACAGCAACTCACATACAAGAAACAGTAGCGCTTGTACCCTCCATTCGCATCAGAAGGCAGGCTCCCATCGAACAGAAGCATTAACCCTGATCCTGGCGCGATGTTCAGCAGAGCGGATGACAACGTACTCAGAGAGCGGCTTAAAGCTCTCTTCCCTCTTTCCATCCATGTGCCTTTCGACCTCACTGCCACTGCCACGAATCTACACTATATAATATAATTTCTGGCCACGTGCCACGTCACTGTTATTAATTACCCTACCATTAAGAATCGTCTTCGAACAATCACGATTTCAAAGGAATTAGAACCGCTACCCTTGATTCAAAATAGAAAACGATTAATTTGAACGCGTTTCTCTTCTATAATGGTTGTTTCGCAAATGAGAATCGACAATGAAAAGATATTTGTTTTTAAATTGTTGAAAGATAAATTGATTCGATAATTCTTTTCTCTGGTTTTTGCTCAGGTCATCCACATTTTTTCAATCAATTGTCCTGCGGTCTGGACCTCGTCTCGATGGCTGGTGAATGGTTGACAGCGACGGCTAATACCAACATGTTCACCTACGAAATCGCGCCGGTGTTCATACTGATGGAGCACGTGGTGCTTCAAAAGATGAGAGAACTGATCGGTTGGAGCGGTGGCGACTCCATACTTGCCCCAGGAGGTTCCATCAGTAATCTATACGCCTTTCTCGCTGCCAGGCATAAAATGTTCCCTATGTACAAAGAACGGGGCCTCTCCGCAGTGGGTGGACAGCTGGTTATGTTCACGTCTGACCAGGTACGTTTTGCTCTACTTATCTCTTTTGTGCCTTTGCGGTATCTTATCGACAGATAAACCTCCGATTCTTATATAAAACGATGTGTTATCATATCCTTATCTCTTGAGATACGGAGTTATAGATAATGGAATTATGAAATCATCGAAATAAAAACCTTGTTTCTTTTCTTTTCTTCTTTTGTAATTCTACGGAAAAATAAACGGAAATGAATGTTCGAAATTTTATTTATTTTTATGCGAACAGTGCCATTATTCGGTAAAATCATGCGCCGCTGTCTGCGGATTGGGAACGGACAACTGCGTGATGGTTCCTAGCGACGATCGAGGCCGAATGATTCCTTCGAAACTGGAAGAATTAATTCTTGAACGCAAGGCCAAAGGACACATCCCCTTCTTCGTGAACGCTACCGCAGGAACGACCGTCATTGGAGCGTTCGATCCTATTCCAGAAATCGCTGATATATGCCAGAGACACAAGCTCTGGCTGCACATCGACGTGAGTTTATAAAACATTGTTTAATTTTTCCCAATAATAATAAAGCGATCAAGACAATATAATTTAATCGACCAATGTAACGTGTACAAAATCGAGGATGAAAGTGTTTCGAAGTTAGAAAGGGAAAACAGAGATTTCCACTTAGCTTAGACAGATTATTCAAATCGGTTCAACGTTCGAACGATAAATGCCAAATGCCTAAGAGCCTTAACGTAAATAATAAATGTGAGAAGCGTCATCTAGTCGACGGCCAGTGTTTCGATCGGTTAAATTAGGGGAAAATTCGGAAAATCTGGGCTTTGCTCGAAGTCAAAACTTACGAAGTTTTTAATACACGATATCTTGGCTTTCTTTACATTTTACAAAATATTTTTTTTTTCAGGCGGCTTGGGGTGGTGGACTGCTTCTCTCGAGGAAATACAGGCATCCCCGAATGACAGGCATCGAACGGTGAGTGAAAGAAAAAAGAAAAAACAGAATAATTCGTTTGAACTATCTTTGTAAAAATGCGATACATCTTCACCCTCAAACTGTTCAATCTTCTCCTTAAGATATATATATAGCTTTTCGATCAATCAGAAACACCTCCATACGTGTTCTATAGAGGGGTGGCTTAATCCTCGTACTTTATAGTTTATTGAGGCTTAGTTTGATGGAGTCACTCGGAAACGAAGTATACACACACGCATGCACAACGTGGATAAAATCGATAAAGTTTCTTCCAAGTAGATAAAACTCTGGGTCGAGAACGAGACGCTTTAAACTTAAGAAAAGTTAGTTTGCATACGAATAGAGAACTGAGAATAGAAATTGGTAGATTTAATCTGTAAATTAAATTTAATCAATCGCAGGAACAATCATACGAAATTAACCAAACTTCAAACTCTGATTTTAATTGTATGTATGCAGAATATTAACAATCTTTTCCCTTCATCATTATATTCATATTTAAAGAATAGAGAAAGAAAAAAAACACTGAAATTTTAAGGATTGATTTCATCTTCCTCTCAAAGTAGAATTATTATTCTTTGGATACTCGACTGCATTAATCTACAATAATATACACGTTGGAAATAATTCGGATAAATTAATCGACGCGGAAAGAAGATACCTGCCGGCAATTTCTCGACAGTATCGTAATCCATGGAATCGAGGGGATGGATGGAAAGGAGTGACTCCTGTCCTCGACACATGCGAACTTTCGCATATAGAATCGCGGAGGCGAGTGATGTCCGACCCCTCGTGCTGCAATTGGGGGTCAGGGATAGGCCGATTCAGGGGGTGGCTCGGATGGGGTTGGCGAGATTAATCCACGATTTGCATCCGGCCGCATCTGCTCCCTTCATTCAACGCCAGACAGTCCGTGACCCGAAAAAAAGTGGCACGAGGCCTGTCGAGAAAATCATTTTCACTCGAAAAGTCATCCGAACTCGGAGTAATATCGAATACTCTAACTTGCCTTCCAATTTCGTGGAATTTACTCGCAATTTTTTATTTAGAAAATTTTTTCCGCAACAACGGAATATTATAGCAACACGTATGCTACAAAAGATGCATGAACAATAGCTGTCATGCATATTTCTCTTCCTACGCGCGAGTAGTTATCGAGATGAATATTCTTTGTCGCGAAATGAAATTGAATGAAATTGAATCTTTAACGTTTATCATTTTCGTATTGTAAATTTTTATAATAATATTTGAATCATAGAATCTTTTCTATTGTTATAAAATATTATTTCCAATTTTAAATATTTTTTCAATATCTGTATCACAAATTTTCACAACACATAATTTCGAATTGAAACTATTTTCACGATACTTTGAGTTATTTTTATCAATACTTCATAGTAATTCGATTTTGACAAAGTCTGGTAAGAAAAAATCCGAGGAAAAATCCTCCTCGCCGTGGATTTCCTGCTTGCACAGACTGTACCCCAGAACTTCCTTCCTGTGAAGGTCTTGATTAAAATGGCAAACGAAAAATCCGAAGGACGAGCAACAGCTGGATCAGTTCCCTGGAGCGCATTTGCAGAACAGAACTCTCCTCTTTATATATCGACGGCGGCGCCGCATCGTACTGTGCCTTCCGCGGGTCTGAAATAAAAGACCGTGCCTCGACAATGCTGGATTAAACTCGTACAAAGGGAACAGAGCTTTCCTCATTCTCTCGTTCAATGTCGCTCTCTGTCGCTCTCCAACTACTCCCTTCGTTGTTCATCCCTCGAACAGAACGGCGCGGACTCGCGAAAAGGAGGATCAGAAAGGAAAGGGAGATCGTGATTCCAGCGTCGCGACAAAGTCAGAAATGATTACGCATAAAAGGTGGTTGAGGAAGGAAGGAGAGGTCTGCATGCGGAAGTGAAGTTGAAAGTCCTTCTCTCGATGGATTCGACAGTTTTGTCGCGTGCTTCCATGCTTTTCACGTGTATTTTTCCTTCGTATACACACGCTTTCATGCAAATTACACGATCCTCGATCCCCTGGAGCACGATTATTCCGATCTCTTTCGACGATCGCCGCGAATTGTCTTTGTTTTGTAAAGAGAGGTGTTCTTTTAAGACTCTATTTCTTTCTTTAAATATCGTTTATTCGATTATCTATGAAAATTTTTTGATTTTAATGTCAGAATGTCTACGCGAACTCGAAGAATTATTAATTTTCTCTTCGTTCGAATTGGACGAATCTGACTGAGTTTCGATTGAAAACCAGTTCTTTTTCTTCGCGCTTAGCTTTTCCGTAAGTGGTGAGGGATAATTAGCAACCCTCGTGATATATATTGCGCGGCTTTTGGGGTTGGCACCTAGGATGAATTTAAGAGTGAACAGAAGGGCGCTGCACGCGCCAGACCCAGCTGCGAATCGCATTAATCACTCGAGCTTTGTACCCACACATTATGCACACTTTTATCGATACCTTTTTTTAACTAATGGAAAATTAAAACACGTTGGAGCAACACGTTCAATCTTTCGATAATAAAAATTATATAGCTCATTAATTGAATCGTGAACAATGAAATATAAAAATTGAAGCTAAATATATAACGTATTTATGTATGAGTGAAGTGATGCAAGTAGTGGAATTGCAAATTGTGCGAAGTGCATGAAACTTGATTCGTGAAAATGATACAACGTTGCGATAAACTCGTATACGGTGTATGAAGAGGATGCAGAAGAGTGACTAATGGCAAACGGCTGTCGCCGACACGAATCTCTTTTCCTGGTTGCTTCGAGTACCCTCGCATCATTCACAGAGCAGTCGACGGACAAGTAGGGATAGTGTCGCGATATATGTGTCAGTTGCCAAGTGTCGATAACGTTTGTCATCGGACGGCCACGCTTGTCTGCACGTGCACGCCTGATTCTACTTGAGCGAGTTAACCTCTACTTAAACGAAACGGTTGAAGCTTCTGAATAATTAACACTGAAATTTATCTATTCTATTTTTACTATCTTCCAAGTTATATACACAAATATATCTCGCTCTAAAAATGTTTGAAATTTCACGGTGGGCAAATTTTTGTATTTAAAAATATCGTATATCATTTATTTTTGTACGATAAGGTGATAAGGTATTATGGAAAGGTGAGCGACACTTGTTGAACGCATAGGAAATTAGTGTCAAATAGTACACAGGTTCTCGCGTTTTGTGCCACGGATTAAGAAGGGTTAGCAGTTTTTACCGCAAGGGTGTGTCTCTTAGGAGTAGAGGGTTAAATCCAATCCCGTGGCTATATTAATAGCTCTTCTCTCGAATTGATGGACCCCCGCGTTGCGTGGAGGGAAAATAACTCATATTTTATCCCCTATTGGTCCCAGTGGGAGTGGATAAACGTTTGACGACCAGCTGAGCTCGACCGCCTTTCTCAGCCACCTTCGCTCGTTCTCGATAAATCGCGGATAAAATCTCTTCCAACCTTCGATTTCATTTATCCCTTGTTACTGAATCGAAATTTGAATCACACTTTCAAATTTCTTTATATTTATCGCGTATTTCGACTTTGATATCTTAGAATATTCTCTTTTTAATTATTCAAAATTTTTACTTTATAAAAAGAAAAATTTTAAGAAAAAAAATAACAATATTGCATAGTGTTAATAAAAAATCGTTCTTTCATAGGATGTAGAAAGATTTTTCGTAAGAAACTATTATATTATCAATTTCACATTCTTTCAGTTCAAATTTTCAACCCCTTAACGACCATATTTTCAATTTTGATTTATGTCGAATAAAATAATTCGGTCCTTAAGGGGTTAATAACGATGTACACGCATGATATTCTTCATAAAAAAAAAAACGATCGTTCACAGAGCCGATTCCGTGACCTGGAACCCGCACAAACTCATGGGGGCGTTGCTTCAATGTTCGACGATTCACTTCAAGGAGGACGTAAGTCACTTTCACATCGATCTTACTTTGTTTTATCGCGATTGTAAAAATCGTTCCACGCGCATGTGTATCCTGGCGAACAAATCGACATCTCGAGATCCCGTGGACGGAAATTCCTGTCTCCTGTAAGGGTGATGACACAACGGTGGCTGCATTCCGAGGGGCCGAGACGTGTACGCGTTGGAACGCGACACTGCAGGAATTTAATTAAACTAAGAGATAACATATGTTGCCGACCGTACCACCATGGCTCGCGCGAGGGTTTATTCGCCCCACACGCCTGCGTGGTTATATTGCCGACTCAGAACTTCCCCCTCGGATATTAAAATTCCGTGCACCGGCTGCCGCGGAACGTTTCGAACGAGGGAGGTTCTTTCCTTATTCTTAATATGTTATCGTTACGTTTGGCCGATCGCTTGGTTAAGAAATTGTTGCAAATTGGAAATTTATAGGCACAGTTCAAGTATCGGTGATTTATGGAAATTTTCATTTTACGTTCGAATTATTCAAAAAGAAAAAACTTGCAGGTGTATTTGACATAATGATTTTTGAATTTGAGATTTTGCAATTGAGATTTTCTAAATTTTTTTTTTAATTTTTCTATAGATCCTTTCACTAATTACACATTTTTATATATCATTTGAATTACAATCATCTATTGTATTTAGATTAGATGTATTACAGTTTGATAATTCTTTTGTTAATACTTTTGATGATTTTTTAAATTTGTGCACATTTCTAAGTTTCTTAATTTTCCTATTGGTTACAATAAAAATAGAATCTAATTCGCTGCAATTTTTTTTTCATTACGCGAAAATGGAACAATGATGGAAGAAAGAACGTTCGATTTACGAGGACATTCAACGAATACGAAATCACAGAATCATAAGGTACAATGGCGACCTGTAGGGTGGCAGGATACCAGTCGCCATTTTGTAAATTCAATATCCCTCAGTTTCCCTCTTCCTGCGCATGAGTTCCCATATCGACCGGGACCCGTCTCTCACGTTTGTTCCTTCTCGCGCCTGTCAATTAGAAAGTTTCTCAAACATAGCTCGAAACGTGTACTCATTGTGTCCTGTAAAATGAGTTGGAAAAATTGGAAAACCGAACAACAACAGATTATCCCCATCTCGCCTCCTCGATGCATTCGCCTCTTTATTTTCCAGGGTTTGCTGATTAGCTGCAACCAAATGTCAGCCGAGTATTTGTTCATGACAGACAAACTGTACGACGTGAAGTACGATACCGGTGATAAAGTGATTCAATGCGGGCGTCATAATGACATCTTCAAACTTTGGTTGCAATGGCGAGCCAAGGTAAATAGCATAGATCGAAGAAGAATAATCGATTCGTGAAAACGAAACAAAAAATAAAAATAGGAAAATTTGTTCACGAAGAAGATTGGATTAAGAAAATAATTTCGATATATTTTATTAGATAAGCGGTTAAAATTACGTTTAATTTAATGGAAATGAAAAATGGTAAAAATAGAAGAAAAAAGAAAAGGGATATTAGATTGCAGAGAGATAGAAATTCTTTTTGACATAGGGTACAGAAGGATTCGGGAAACACATGGATCGACTGATGGAACTTTCGGAATACATGGTCAGAAGGATCAAGCAGATGCCTGACAAGTATTATTTAATCCTAGAACCAGAAATGGTGAACGTCTGCTTCTGGTATTTGCCAACACGCGTTAGGAACATGCCGCATACTCAGGAGAGAATCAAAATCTTAGCAGATGTGAGATTAAATCCTAACTCTTTTAATTTCTCTACTCTTTTTCTAAACTCTTTTGTAAATAACAATATCTTTAAACCTGTGCATTTCGACTATCAAACTTCTCAATTACGAATTCCAATATTCTGATTAATTTGACCAAGCTCTGACTATTCTTGTGAATAATATAATACTTTCAAATCTTTATTTCAAATCTTTTTTATCATTGATTTACATAATAATAACAATTAGCCAACAGTGGAAGAAGCAACAAAACAATCTGTTCACAGATCTGTCCAATCTTGAAAGGCCGAATGATGCAAGCTGGCACACTGATGGTAGGTTACCAGCCGGACGATCGACGACCCAATTTCTTCAGAAATATTATCTCGAGTGCCGCGGTCACGGAAGCGGACGTCGATTTTCTGCTGGCGGAAATGGACCGGTTAGGCCATGATCTGTAAGAAACCTGCCTGTTCTAATTAATTACATAATCAACCGAGGGGGGCGCGATTTAACGTAAATCGCGACACCATATCGAAAGTGAAATATTCCTGTTGATATTAAAAATTCATTAACGAGCAGGAGTTTAACCGCGTTCCATCACGTGTACAAAATCCGGAGATCAAATTCGAGAATCGCAATCATGGTTAATAATTTAAGCACCTCGTCTACCTGCTCTTTTCTCTTCTCTATTAATGAAAACATTCCATTATAAATCGATATCGTTTGATTAATGATAATTTACTTTTACTATTAATCATGAGAAATGAAAATCAAATGGCTAAATTAACGATAATTGTTTCTCCATCGATGGAGATTATTATATTTTGCCTTGATATTTAATTTGATTATTCGTAATCGAAATTGACGAGAGAAGGGAGTGGGTCGCGTGATCATCATCGTAGCACGAAAAAGAAAAAAAAAAAAAACGCTTCTTCAGCATATTTACGAAGCAGCAAACCGAAGATCAAAGGATACTCATAGCACGTAAGTTCTCTAGATGTAAGCGTAT